AAAGTCAAAACTAACATTAGATTCGGGCTCAAAATTGAAAGCGAGTTGATTTTTGTTCTCTTCAAAAATCTCGGGGTGCTTTCATGTTCCTGGAAAATCTTCGCCATACTTCTCCTCAGAGTACCCTCAACAAGTGACTTCTACCAAAATGATGTTTTCATCATTTACTCGTCTACCATTTCAGCTAAAGTATTATTTAAGGAGTGAGATTACCTCATTCTCCAAAGCAGAAAACATTTTTAAGGGAAATGATTTTATTTATGGTGCCCCATGTGGAATTGAGCACCTATATTCAAGACAAATGAATATTCTCAGAGGTATCTGAAAGATACGTAAATAAACCCAGTTTTGAATGCTGATTCTAGTTCGGATATTCATTTAACTCAGAGTAGGCTCTTCTATGTTACAAAGAGTTTTCAGAGAACGAAAAATTGGCGAAAACATGACAAAAAACTAAATTCCGACCTCACCATGACTAGGAGCTTTCCTAATGGTTGTAGCTTTTAGACTTTCAAAATAAACCTACTAGTTGAGAACTATCTGTATTTCAATTTTCAGACTAATTCATCGAATTCTTTAATGAAAAAGTCCTGCAATATGAACTCAGAGCTATTACAAACGGTAAGAAATAAAAATCTTGGCTCTCAAATCAACGAAAATCGAAACCGGCTGAGCAGCTTCATATACCAGAAGATAGAGCGAGCGACACTCTACAAAACCTACTATACCACAATTCACTCAAATTCGGATGAGGTTTCTTATTCGAAGATAAAGTTTGTGTAGCAATGAAATTATTCTACTCCCATTAAACTTTTACTTTGGGAACCTGAACAACTTGATTCATATATGGTTCAATAGAGCTGAACGCGAGATATCAGAATATAAATAGAATGTTCTCTTTCGGTCGTAAAATGAAAAAGAAAATGTTCTCACAAAATCCAGAACTTTTCAGTTCGACTATAGTTTTCCCCAAATTTCAAAAATCGTATTTTGCTCATTTCAACCTGATTTTATATTCAAACCTTTGATAATTTATTACTAAAATGATCAGCTCATTGATCTCCACAAACGCTGAAATTTTGAGGGGATTCTGAGAAAGTCGACGTAAACGTGGTACGTTCCCTATGGATTTACCCTCATTTATGCCATAAAAATGGTCATTTGTACCATAGAAATGTTCATGTGCACCATGGAAATGGCCATTTGTGCTAACCCCTTGTTACAGACAGACAGACACAGGTGAATTAAGGTTTCTAGACCCTAGCCTTTCAGTCTAGGGAATAAATCCTTTCTATGGAACGATAGAACAATAAACCCTTGGCCGTCGAATAATAAACCCTTTTCATAAAAGAGTAGAACAATAAACCCTTGACCGTAGAATAATAAACTTTTCTCATGAAAGCGTAGAACAATAAACCCTTTCTCGGTAGTCATAAACCCTTTTTATTTTTAAATATCCTTTTTCTCGAAAACTCTTTCGCACAACAACCCTTTAAGGGTTTAGGAAGATTTTCCTAAAGTACTAGGGTTTATTATTCTACGAATTTTTTTTACAGTGTACCAAATGTGCTAGTAGCCCATGCTAATTTAGCTGATGACCAAGTACGTGAAAGACTTGCGACGTTAACGAGTCGATTTGATAAAGTGTGAGGTATTCGACACTTGATCAGTTGGTTAGATAGCAAGGAGAGTAAATACACATTGTGCGATCGACCTGATTATTTGACTGATAATAAATGGAAACAAGGATTTGGTTTATTGAATCAGTATGAATTGTCGTTTGATTTAGCAATCTATCATCATCAGATGAATGATGCTGCTCAGCTCGCACGGGAAAACTTAGACACAACTATCATGCTTAATTATTGTAGTAAGTCATACCTCCGAAAACAGTGTGTTAGAGTAGTTATTAGGAAAGATTATTATATGAAAACTGGGATAATATGATAGCTTTCGCTCCGCGAAGTATACATTCTTATTCCAATTCAACTTAGTAAAGCCTTTTTCTCTATCGTAGGGGCGTATTCTTGTGATATATCATTTTGATCATGGCAGAGGTTAGACTGAAAAAAGCTCGACAGGAGGCAATAACATAGGAATATGATATATACTTTTCGGTATATAAATCTACTCCTCGGTCAATAATGCGTGTGTCTCAATCATTTGGTAAAGAGGACAAAATCAATAGTACATTAACGAAGATTGATATCAAACAGATATTAAAATTATTCATTGTTTCACTAGAACGATCTCAGCACCAGAAAAGAAACGATAACAATGAAAAAGATTCCCATCTACTGAGTATTGGTCACATTTCATCATTATCTTGTGAAAAAGTATCTGCTCTTCGCGTTCCATACCCATCTTTACCCGTGTCTTTTCTTTATCAACTCTGCTCCGAACTGGATCGCCTTGTGTTGAATTTTTTCTGTAAACTACAAATCTCTGCTGAAAAGTACAGTTTCAGATCATCGTTGTTTCAATAGTTTGACCATTTTCTGTCATGAAATACAAACGAGACATATGTAGATCATAAAAAAATCTCTCCTAAATCTTCTACCAATCTTTGACATAAACATTTATCTTTAATTCATGAGCATCCAGAAAATTATCATAAAAATGTTGAACCTATTTGACTTACTTTGAATTTAAGTATGCCCTATGATAATATGGTCTCAATAAATCAATGGAAAGAAGGCATGTCTACTTTGGCTCAACAGGCTAATGTATCATGTAAACTAAGTGGTCTTGTCATGTTTCAACATAATTGGACAGTCGAATCTCTTCAACCCTTTTTGGAATACGCATTGAATGTATTTGGCATCGATCGATGTCTTTTTGCATCAAATTTTCCTGTTGATAAACTTCATGTAACGTTCAGACAACTTGTTGAAGCCAATTTGCAAGTGGCCAAGGAAGTAGGATTAAGTAAACAAGAAATTGAATGTGTATTTCATGATAATGCTTGTCGTATCTATCGACTATGATTGTATGAGAGAGAGAGAGAAAGAGAGAAAAGTGTATGATAACTTTTACTACATTTTGATTTCAATAAAAATAAAGTATGTTTGGTATTTGACCTCCAATAGAAAGTCTTTCAAGTAGCAGAATCGTCAGAAAAAAATCAAATTTTCATATTCGGAGTGAAGGAGAGGAAAGTCGTCGGTTCGTGTACATTCTATTATGATATAGACGCTCTATTGTTGTGTACTTGAAGGTGAGGGAGTGGGTTTGCAATGTAGGAATTAGAAGCAAACATTACGATGGTTTTGACCTTGCTAGAGATCTTTCGAAATGCTTTTACACGAAACTCGATACATTGTTCATCTACAATGCATACGAGAAAAGTTCAAAAGAAACTAAAGTTATTTGGATTTATTTTGGTATTCTAAAGTTATAATCTCTTTTAACTTCTTCAATTCCTTTATTTCTTTTACTTCTTGTATCTCCTTTAGTTTCTTTAATTTTTTTAACACCAATAGTTTTCTTATTAAATTTTGGTGCTCCCAGAGAGTTTTCCCAGTTCTAATTCTCATATTGCTTATGTCTGGTGAGGACTAAAATTTGTTGCTTTTCTAGGTCTCAATAGTGTCTGATATTTCGTTCGTCTTTCAAGAACTTCCACAATTGATACAAAACACCATAGATAGACACGAGCGTCAGAAGAGCATAAAACACTCGTTTAGAGAAAAAATACAATATATTTGCGATCGTTTACGGACCAATTAGGGTTTAGTTCTGCTGATAGCTTAATAGTGTATTTTAACGAATAGTATAGTATAGTACTAGTTGTATGCTCAGACTACATGATTTAATTCCTCTGTTGAGATTACATCGAATTTCGCAATTACCTCCTACATCTGCATAAGCAGAAACTGGAACAAGATTCTGAAAATTCATTAAAAGTATCATATGTATATTTGAATCATTTATTGTTATCCATTGAAAAAACTCATAATTCATCAATGATATCAGAATTTATACATATTTTATGTAAACATAGCGAAACAATAAACATTCAAGTTTTTAATGAAATTCAAAAAATTGACTACAACTATCAAACATAATAATATTAACAATCTATGTATGAATAGGCGTCATACTATCAAAATCAAATCACATGGACGTTTTTTTGTAGTCATCAACATATGTACATATATGGAGAAAAACAACACATGATAAATATATTTGAAGATGATATCTTTCTTATTTTGAGATCTTCAATATCTCAATCAACGAACAATCTTGTATAAATTTTCATATTTCATCATTCTTTGTCGTTTGATTAATCTGACTTTTCTCATTGTAATTAATCTTTTTCTATTAATATTTTATCTCGTCACAACACTTATATTTGTTTCTACAACACCGTAATCAGTTGATTAATTCAATTAAAAACAATTTGTTTGACATAATATCATCTAGAAAATGTCTTTCCTGGCGAAAATTATTATTTGAAATTATTTGCAAAATGGATCGATAATTGCAAATGAATAGTTTGTATCTGTAGTTAATCTCATTCCCAATACACATGTTTCTATCTAAACTAGTTTATACAAAAGAAACTTTTATGTTACTTAATTCAGTCATTGAATCAAGAGTTGTAATTGTTAGCCAAACCTGTAAATAATCAGATGATGCACTTATAACAAGTGTATCAGCATCCATATTGCTTCCTACATTAAAATAGGCGTTTGGTGACAACTAAATGTATTATCTATGGAAAAAAAGTTTTAAACATTGTGTTTATTATATCTGTCCCATCTTTGCCAAAGACACTCACCTATTAGCTTAACTCTTAGCACAGTTATTGCTCACTTGATTGGAATGATACGTGGAATCGTACAAATTCTGCCTCAAATGCTTGCGCCAAATATATAACATTAGCTCATTTAAAGCAAAAATAAAATAAAATAGATAACCGAAAAATTCTGCTTTTAGCTAATGCACTTATTTATCACAATTGCTCTTCAAATAGTTGCACTTTACCGAGAATATAATAAGAAATGTATTGAATAAAAATTCACTTATTCGAATGTTGAAACATTGCCTGCTATTCCACACATTAGGAACCAAAAACTGCAATCTTGGTTCAATAGGAATAGAGAATCTTTGAAAATTTACATGAACCAAGTAAAATTTCAATCTGCCAATGTAACTCGAAGTATTGATAGGATATTTATTACTGATATAAAGGAAATCAAACTTTTGAACAAAGATAAATTAGAAATATAATGAAACACTTTCAAAAGATTTAAATCATAATATAAACTGTGACTTCTTTATCACAATAAGCTTAACACATCAAAATATAAAATCAAAAATATTTTGAGATTTTAAATCGAATTCTCAAGTGTATGACAATCAAATAAAAATATCGAAGAAAATCATTCATTGTCATTTAAATTCAATAGTTCTCTTTAGCAAATTAGTGGTTAAATACAAGATCGCATATACCTATAAGCATAAGATTATTGATTGTTCATTCGTTTAACATGATTAATATAATTCTGAACTATCCAGAGCAATGCCATTGTATCCACCAGTAACTAACACGTTTCCATTTGTTAATACAGATGCTGTGTGTTCATATCGTGCATTATTCATACTACCAGTCATTGTCCAAGTTCCTGCTGATGGATCATACAATTCAGTACTATTTATGAGACTAAGATAATACAATCCACCAGTAACTAACACTTTTCCATTTGTTAATACAGAGGCTGTGTGTTCAGATCGTTGATTATTCATACTACCAGTCATTGTCCAAGTTCCTGTTGATGGATCATACAACTCAGTACTATTTACGATACCACTATTACCCAACCCACCAGTAACTAACACATGTCCATTTGTTAATACAGATGCTGTGTGTTGATATCGTCCATTATTCATACTACCAGTCATTGTCCAAGTTCCTGTTGATGGATCATATAACTCAGTACTATTTACGGTACCACTACTCTCCCATCCACCAGTAACTAACACTTTTCCATTTGTTAATACAGATGCTGTG